CACTGCGTCGGTACCTGGAAGGGCATCATGGGATCGCATCGTGTTAGATCGTTGTTTTAAGGCGAAGGAAACATTTGGGTGATTGGGGTGACCATATTTTAGCGTTAAATGACATTTCAATACGCACGTAGTTATTTCTAAACAACGATATACACTATACTACAGTGTATATTTCCGTTTTTGTTGCTATTACAACGGCAACTCCTATCGCCAGACGTCAACTTATTACTGTTGCCATTATCAATACCTGTGGCTGTGCTAGTTTGAACTTAGAAATCAATATGGTTCTATCTTGCATTGATGCCCATCGTTTAGTTTTACAACCACCACTACAAGCTGAAAAAATTACATCTTGATTTGAATACTGACTTACCTTCTCCATGTGTTTCCGCTTGATGTGTTCAGTGTGGTCGCTCTTGCGCTTGTAAGTCTTGCCACAAAAGTTGCATGTGTGGACCTTCGTGCTATGCACATAGTAATTATGCTGCCTTAGTTGGTGATATTTCTGGAAGGCTAACTGGCATGGTTCACACTTCCACCTGTTGTTGGCATGTTCAAAGTAAATATGGCTCTTCAGGCTAGAATTGTCGTTAAATTTCATGCCACAAAACTCGCAGGTGAACCCCTTCTTGTTCTCGTGCATGTTGGCTACATGTCTATTAAGGTAGCCTGCTGTGTAGCTCTTCCCACACAACTTACATTCCACATGTGGCATAATATCCATGCCATGTTTGATACGCATGTGGTTTTCCAGCTGTCTACGTGTCCGACCCTGATAAAGACATAATTTGCAACGGTGCTGCCGGCCTGTCTTGTGTGGCCAACGATGCACCTTGGTCATGTGCAGGCGCAGCGCTGACAAGCCATGCATCCTTCTCTCACACACTTCACACTCCAACATCATTATGCCCACACTGCCTACAGGCCCTCCCCCTTCGTCTACCATCTCTTTATGGTGTTCATGTTGGTGCTTCGCTAAGGTGACTAGGTTGGCGAATGCGGCACCACATGCACGGCAACTCATCTTGCTCTTGCTCTTCCCTTGCCCAAGATTCTGACTTATGACTTGCTGTCTCTCCTCGCTGTCACCCTCGCCCTCCGGAGCGGCAGTAAGGTTGAGGCGGTGGTTAATGATGCCTCCACAACCGTCACCTTCCAGAATGACGACAGAGCCCTCATGTTCTGCTTCCATGTGTCTCTTCAGATTCTTCTTCCCTTGAACATTCAGTCCACACACAATACACGTCAAGCTCAACTGTTGCTCTTCCTCTTGACATGCCATGCCCGCATCTCTTTCTGTGGTTTCCTTCAAAGGTTCGACCTTTGGGGTCCTGGAGGCGACCCGGAGCATACCTGGATGATTCTGCTGCTTATGGCGATGTAGCGCCCCAAGGCTGTTAAAAGCCTGTCCACAGGCCCGACACCACCATCGTGCACCTCTCGATGGCCGAGGTTCTTCCAGGCGATTTCGAATAGTACTGGTTGCTGCCTCTTCGGTTGACCTTTCCCTTGTATTGCCTTTGGGCAGAGTTATCTCTTCTGCTACTAATCTTGCTCTTGCATCCTCATACGAGCAGGTGTTGCCGATGTGTTCATCATCCGCTTGCCATGTATGGTCATCCCCAGGCTGCCATGCCTCACTATTCTCAGCTTGCTTTATATGATCGTCTTGCTGCCATGCGTGGTCATTTTCCGGCTGCCAAATCTGACTATCCATGTCATGCTGATCCCACATAACCTCTGTCTTGATCTGTACAGCAGCTACAGGCTGTGGCTCTTGTGGTTGTTCTGCTGTTTCTCCAGATATAGAGGCCAGGAATTCATCATCAACCACCATATTATGGAATTCTCGTAGGTGCTGCACTAGTTCATGGCGTTCTGAAAAGGTCTTTCCACATGCATGACACTTTCGGATCTTCCTGCTGTCTGTGTAGTCCTGTTGGGGTAATGGGTCAGGTCGCTCTAGCTCTTTCCCAATTTGCATCTTCAGTGTGGCTTGGAGATTGTACCAGAGCCAACGAGGCTGCACATGGTGAACGGCTGCCATGTGCAGGCACCAGTCTTGCTCACCGTAGAAGTCCATCCCACAAAGTCCACAGATACACAATTTGTGGCTATTTCCTTCCCCAGATTGTGGCTTCTTCTTTGTACCACTTTTCTGCGTCTTACTTCTTGCTCTTCTGGCTGTTTCCACTGACTCTTCTGAGTGCAGCTCTGCCTTAGGAAGGATAGGAACATACTTCCTGGAAGTTGTGAGACTTGGGGGTGTAGTAGGGCGTATAGGCTCATCATTCACAGGCACTGTTGCTATCACACCGCCTTTAAGAGTGTTGTCCATGGATTTAGATTCCAGAATGTATGCTGGCCAAGCTTCTCTCATGCGCTCTGTTACAACCTGCAACTTCTTATAAGTGGCATCTCCTTCCATGAGTAAGTCATGGCATCTCTGGCATAGTTTGACCCCATTGCTACGAGGGAGAGGGCAAGACATCCCAAGTGA